AAGAACTTGCCATGTAGGCTGTACAGCGTACACTGTCCGCACACTGTTGAGAGACATCAGACATACAGCCAGAATCTTCGGTGACAAAATGATTTCGACTTGACAATTACTTGAATTTGGCAACACTCCTCAACTTAGCGTGAAATTCGTTGGATTTGATTTACAATTATTTTTATTGGACCAGGAAATGTTGTAGTCGAAATGAATCTTCCAGAGAAAACCGAATGCCGCTCATACTTCAAGTATAATATTTGATCTTATGGTCCGAAAATGGTAGCATCGCTGTCAACGAGATATATTCTGAATGTGTATCTAGGCTACAAGGGTTTCCATTACGGCTTTGAGACGCTAGAAGCCTTACCGAAATCACCAACAGGTAAACAATCAACACGTTGACTCGTGGGTGGTGGCAGATTGGATCCATCTTGTGTGGGGTCCAGGTAAGAAAGATCAAAAGAGTACCACAACGCTTCAAAGGCTCATCAACAGAGTAATCAAAGCTCTCGAACGGAGGTGGATTATAGCATGGAACTCCATAGCTATGACAGCATGTCTTATACGGCTGAAGTATGACCATCCTGTACATCCTCCATGGCCGCAATCTCCAATCTTTAGGATAGAATATTGGATTCTCAATGGAGCTTCGGGAAATGAATTTGGAAAAATGCGATAAACGAACGTAGTGGCACATTGACGAACTCCACAAAATTCTGTTATTGGATACTATAAGTGTTAGAGAACTCCAGTGTCGCGCGAAATGAACTCGAGAAGTAGAGCACTGAGCGATCAACGACTTCGGAACCGTTATCGTCGATGATACTGTCATCTCCCACAGAGTGTTGATAGCGACAGGGGAAGGAAATACGAGGAATCGGAGTAGGGAGGCGATCACACGAGATAGCCAGCCGCTACTCACGCGGGGAAAAGCCTTCGCCCACTCCTGAACAGATTCGAAGTAAAGATAAACAACTACTGAGTCGATACTTGAGCACAATTGCAGAGTAGTAGAAATAGCGACATCGACGTTGCGTGTTGCGATAAGCCACCAAACTGGCGACAACAAGGACGTGAGTGCAAGCATAGGATCATGAGCTATGAGCGGTATGACCAGTAGTAGGTCACAAGGCACCATCAAGAGAACAAGAGGCTGCTGCCGTTGAGGAACGTTGAGACATGGTATCATCACCATCTTTGGATCTCTTATAATCCTCAGCTGCATCCTCCATGCTTTCAACGATATCCTTCCGAGTAACTATACCAACCACACGATTAGCGTCGTCCTTATCCACCACAATCATATGTCGCAGGGCCAAATTACGGAATATGGTATAGGCTTGAGCCAGTGGTGTTAGCTCTGATACTATTGTCGGGGTGCGGTTCGTGAGATCGAGCAAGTTCAGTCGAGTATTAGCAGAGACGACACCACCCTGTCCGTTTACCCAATCAACGATGTTGGACCGCATTACCACACCTAGAAGCCTGTGACTGTGATCCTGAATAGTGAAAGCATTGTGAGTGCAGCTCGAGAGCACCTCCTGGATTCTGCCCAGACTCTCAACTTCGCCAAAACCAGACAAGGGCGCCGCTGACATCCGATAGGTTACATCACGACCAGCCATATTACGTTCATCGTAAATACTGAGCTCCTCGATATAAGGGTACCCACGGAGCTCAGATACTATATCGTACGCTCCCTTGTTGAACATATCAGCCACTTGCTTCGACACAACTACAGTAACCATCACTGCAGGAAGCAGTCGTAAGTCGCCAACCAGCTCGATGACGATGACTGTAAGACTGATGGTCATACGAGTAAAGCCAGCCATCATACCAGCAGCGCCCATAACAGCGTACACACCAGGGTTGGAGGCCCAGTCGCCGACCCACAGACCGAAGAGTCGACCAAAGCAGGCACCCAACATGATATTGGG